TTCCGGCTGGCTTTCCTGTCACTCCATAGAATTCCTGTCAGGTGATAACAAGGAATCTGATCTTCAGTTTTACAGATCTCTGCAGCAAGATCTTAAAGGCTAAGGTTTAATCTGCTTATTGCAGCACAGAAGACTTGAGGGATATTGCCAGCTTATCTGGCTTCCCAAGCATCATACAGCAAATGAGGCTGTGTCAGAGCATCCTTGTCCATTTTTTAAGCCCTTCAATCTCCAGGGTAAAGCTTTGTCCTTGTAAAACTTGGTCTCATTTGTCTAAGTTCTAGAGAATCCAGACTGCTGTGGCCCTGGCTCATTGCTTGCCCAGTGTCTGGTAGGCAGCAGAATTTAGTGCGATAAAAACTGTACCTTCAGAGGACCTTTACAAAAACTTCCTCAGGCCTTGACCAGTTTGCTGTCTATCTGTTTTAATTCTGGTGAAGATTGATCTGTTCAGCTGAGGGCTGCCTCTCTGTGCTCACAGGTCCTGATATTCCTGAAACGGACACTAAGGAAAGGTAAGCATGACTAGCATCAGGGTTTCCATGGTGTGTTTCAGTTAGAGGCAGAGGGGTTGGTTCTTTCACTGGCTGTAAGTTGAGAAGAGAAAGTAGTTGGGGCAATGCTGCTTTACTGAGCATGAAATGTCTGCGAGTGCAGTGAGTGTAAAATGAGAGGGGAGTGATGATGCCCAAGAAGGCTCCAGAGAGGAGCTTGGAGCACTGGTAGGTGGTAGCAGTGATGGGGTGGATGAGAATGAATCTGAAGGGATAGAAAACTGTGAAATCAGCCCTTTCTCTGGACTTCTAGGGTTGTGCTTTGAGGAGGGAGCAGGGGAGCAACAAAGATAATTGCGCGTCTATCTTAGTCTTTCGTCATAAGCGAGCTGGGCCTGTTTAGTCTGGAGAAGAGAAGATTGAGAGGAGATCTTACCAACATGTATAAATATGTGAGAGGAGAATGTAAAGGGAATGGGGACAAACTTTTTGGTGGTGGCCAGTGACAGAACAAGGAATAATACGTATAAATTAAAACGCAGGAAGTTCCATCTGAATATGAGGAAGAACTTCTTTCCTGTGTGGATGACAGAGCACTGTAACAGGCTGCCCAGAGAGGTTGTGGAGTCTCCTTCTCTGGAGATCTTCCAAGCCCGCCTGGATGCCACCCTGTGCCATGTGCTCTAGGTGTCCCTGCTGGAGCAGGGGAGTTGGACTAGGTGATCGCTAGAGGTCCCTTCCAACTTTAACCGTTCTGTGATTCTGTTGCTGAATCCCCCAGTAGTGTTTTGCAGCTCAGTGCACTGTGCTTAGTCCCTCTGTCAGTGCTGGCATGTTAGCTACCAACTCACTTTACCCATGTGCGTGCCTCCCTCTGCCCCATAGAGTTCTTGTTTCGGGAGCTGGTGGTGCGGCAGGTGGCCCTGTGTCATCTGATCCATTTCCTCAAAGAGACGGGTGAGCAGAAGTTCCTTCTGGATCTGCTCAGGTGAGGCTCTTGCCCAGTCCTGCAGCAGGGCTGAGTGTACTACTAAGAAGCTGCCCCAAAACTAATGCTCCTTCCGTTTTGCAGGTTCCTGGACAGGACTGAAGAATTTGCAGTGAGTATTTCCAGGAGCTGAAGCTGTTCTTCCTCAGGGATGAGGGAGCACGGCGGGTGGGAAGGGCAGAGGGAGGCTGGCAGAACGGTGTCTAGTAGTCAGAGGAAGAGACTTGTATTCTGCTTCTGCTCCCTAGAGTGCTGTATCTCCTAAACCCATGAGAATAACCTGTGTTTGTCTTTCTTCTCTCTCCAGCTGTCCCAGTACCGGGAGCATTTGAGCATTCAGGATGTAGAGAAACGAAGGGAGTTTCTGAAAGGCTGCATTGGGTAAGAAAAAAATACAAGAGAATGGGTGATATGTAGGTGCTCAACAGAAGGTAGTAATAAAGAAAATGAGAACCCGTCTCAGTGTCATACTGCAAGAACTGATATTGATACTGTACTGGGAGGATGGGATATTGTGCTATGCAGTGTAAAACAGAGAAGAAAAAATTAGGATTACCACTACTGCAGCATCTTCTCCTGCTTATTTGGGGACGTTCTGAACACTGACCCTTCAGCCTGTGAAGGGTGAAAGCTGGTGCCTGTACGTCGAAGAATCAGTACTGTCAGCTTTAGGCTGTGCTTTTAAGGGTACCAAATAATTTCTCTGGAGCCGATGCAGGAGAAAGCCAGAAAGGACAATGGGGAGGGGGTTGCAAGTCAGGATGTTGACTACTTGATAGCTTCTCACAGGCTGGGGATAAAGTGAAGTGTTCCTTGCCACATCCCTGTACACAGGGTGCTTGCTCAGCTATACTGTGTGTTGCTGACAATGCCTTGCTCTGTGTCTGGCCAGGCTGCCATTTTCAGCTGAGGATACGGCTCACGTCCAAGATCATTATACCCTACTGGAGAGGCAGATAATCATTGAGGTATGAAATCCTCCCTGTTGATCAGGAGACAGCTGGGGCTGGCTATGAGGTCCGCATCTGTCCTAACTCACAGCACTTCTTATCTAACGACCCTGGCCTGACGTGAGTAGTCATCCAAGCTGCTCTGCCAGGTTTATGTAACAAATACCAGACCTGAGATTTCTTGTCCTGTTGAGGGTGTGCATGTGCACCGCTTTCACAGAACTCTCTTCAGGTCTCTGCCCCACAGCTAGGTCAGGCAGCTGCTTCCACTTATGCTGCCCCTCTCCCTCTGCTTTTTCAGAGCAGTGATCGGCGCTTAGAGAAAGAAGGGGGGTCGGAGATATTCCGGAAATATCCTCGCAAGGCCTCGATTCTCAACATGCCACTCGTGACCACTCTCTACTACTCTTGTTTCTACCACTACACAGAGGCTGAGGTGAGGATAATGTGAGAAACCATGGAGGTGACTTCTTGTCCCTGTAGTTAGTATGTGGGGTGTGTAAGCTTGGCATGTTAATAAAGGAAGAGAGTGAGGCTGTGCTCTCCTCTTCCAGATTGACCAGACCCTCCAGATAGATCTTGCAGGGAAAACCAAGCCAGAGAGCTGCTGTGGTGAATGGTTGCTCTCTCCTCTTCCAGCTGTTCCCTGCTATGTCACTAGCATGAGCAAAAAGCAGTGAAAACTTGTATGGAGGGGAGATTTACACTGTGTGAAACAAGTGCTTTACAACAGAAAGCATCTGAGCCTCCCCATTGATCTCCCGTGTTGAAACTGCACTAACTTGTTTACTCTCTGCAGGGGACATATAGCAGCCCAACCAACCTGAAGAAAACCTTTAAGGTGAGGAACCCACTGTCACTGCTGTCCTGATGTTGTGGCAGCACCAGCCAGGCTGAGTTAGGATGGAGGCTGAGTAGGAGGAGTTTGAGGAGCTCAGCACTGAGGCAAGGAGGGTAGTGCTTCATTCTCCCCTAGCAGAGCCATTCTGGAGGCTCAGAAATGCAAGTCGCAGCTGTGTGGAGGCTTTCACTGTCGCACTGAGAGAGGCAGCCTGGCTAACCTGCAGCAGCACTTGCAAATCCCCATCTCATACCTTGTGCACGTGCTCCCCCTGGCCTCACGCAGCACCTTCCCTCCTTGCCTGGCTGTGGGCACGGCTGCCGCCAAGTGGAGGCAGGTGACATTGTAGCTTATCCTGCACGGGGCCTCTGAGCTGTGCTGTTGCTCTGACTGCAGCTCTCTGCCTTGCAGATTCCTGATAAGCAGTATGTGCTGACTGCCCTGGCTGCGCGGGCCAAACTGCGTGCTTGGAATGATGTTGATGCCCTCTTCACCACCAAGGTGAGTAGGGGAAAGACTTCCTGGGAACTCACTTCCCAGTGCTGATATCTGACTTATGTGGTGTTACTGAACAGACTGGTTTTATTTCGGTGGTGGTGTGGGGGTGGGGGGCAGCATCTTGGTTGCAGGAAGTTGCAGTGAGTTGCTCATAAAACAGCTTTCCCTCTATTAGTGCTCTGCTGGGCCTGGAAGGGGTTCACTGCCAACCTCAACCCAGTCCCCGAATGAAGAGCTCTGGCATTGGAGTATGTAGTAACAGATGGGGAAGGTTGCCAGCAGCTGGAGTGAGATTCCTCCCTCTACACCCTTCACTGAGAGCAAAAAGTCTCTTATTTCCAACTTCAATCTGTGTCAACCTTGTTCTCTGCTTTTTTGCCTCTTCTGTCAGTAGCTGGAGCAATTGCCTTTAGAGTTAACACTGAGTTTGCCTCTGGTTTCAGAACTGGCTGGGCTATACCAAGAAGAAGGCACCCATTGGCTTCCACCGGGTGGTGGAGATCTTACAGAGGAACAACGCGCCGGTGCAGGTGAGCGAGATGTCCCTTTGGGTCACTAGCCGTTTCTCAGGCTGACTTACATGTGTTGTGCTATTCACAGGTGCTATTGCCTGTGTCCTGCTCTGCACTGCAATTTGGTGTGAGACTGACTGCCCAAGTTACCTGCCTCACAACTGGCTGGATCTGCCAGCTTGGCACTCAGTGAGCTAGCTAGTGACCCAAATGTCAACAGAAAATGTAAACAGGCATAAGAGCCGGGTCCTAGCTGGTTGCAAGAAGGACAGCAGGACTAAGGGGAGTCTGGGAGAGCTCTCCACACAGTGATTTGCCAGCTACAAAAGTAGTGTTTGCTACACTAGCTTTTATACTTATTTAGTCAGGCAATGCCTAAGTTATTCCTCAAGAGTGGGGTAGTTCAAGACTAGGCTGTTCGTGAGCAAAGTTTTACTGCCTCCATGGTCCTCAGCAGTCTTGTTCTGGTCACTTGTCCAAGGGGGAATGGGTCAAGTCTGTGATAACGAGTGATCTTAAAGGTTTTGTGTTTGGGGTAAGAGAGTGAGGCAGGAGGTGCCTGTAGAAGTGAACCAACACAGCCTTCATCTCCTTGCAGGTGCTGCAGGAGTACGTGCGCCTGGTGGAGGATGTGGAGACACGGTTAAACCTGGCCACCAAGTACAAGTGCCACGATGTTGTCATTGATGTGAGTCCCTGCTGTGTGTGTGATGAGTAGGGATGAAAGCCTGCTTTTCCTCCCTAGTTTCCCTGTGCCCCTCTCTTACCTTCCTGCCACAGGCCTGGTTTTCTTAACCCCTGTGGCCTGGGAACGCTGTGGTCAGTGGAAGCCAGCTGAACCAGGAGAGCACCTGGGTTTGTGCTGTGCCCAGGACAGATCTGCACAGTCCATTCGCACAGGCAGCTGAAGTCATCGATGGGAATGTCAGGGGGGATCAAAGATTGACTCCTCTTCATCTGCATGGCACCATCCCACTTATCCTTTCGCTTATTTGGGTTCCGGTTTTGTTCTTTATCCAGACATACAGAGATCTAAAGGATCGTATCCAGCTGACAGCTTATAGATGCAAAGTGGAGCGGGGCTCTGCAGAAGAAGAGAAGATAGACAGCATTCTCAACAATATGGTAAGAAACTCTGCTTTACCCCCTAGAGACATTCATCAGAGGCATATTTTGGGTGTGCAGTGAGGACATGGCTGTCTCACATTCTCTTCTCCCTCCTGGAAAGCTAATGTTATGTTTGGGGTTGCCTTCAGTGCGGGAATGAAGGGTGAAGCTGATAGAAATAGCAGTGGATAGCTTGTGGATTGGCGCCCACTAACCTGGCTCTGAAGGGATCTATAGAAAGCCCTGATGCTAGTCATGTTCTGTTCTGCCTCTCTTTTAGCAAATCCGATGGAAGAACTGAGGAGCCCACTTGGCCTTTGCTTTGCCAGTGAGAGAGGAAACCACGAAATCCAGTCCAGTGCCAACAGAACAACTCTGATACTCGTCATTGCATGGTTATATCCATCAGTGACAGTGGATGCCTGTGGCTTGTGGGACACGCATTTGGGCTGGTTGAAGGCAGCTGCTCCAATCTAGCCAGAGAAACATGGTACTGGTCCACCAGGATTGATTCTTTTTGGAATCTGAGTCCCTTTGACTTGGCTGTAAGCCAAGCATTGCTTGTGTTTACGGATGACCGTCGCTGGGCACAGCAGGATTATGTTTGACCTGTGTGGTGTCTGGGCTTGTTCCAGCAAGAGGAACAGGTCACTCACACTCGTGGGTCTCTCCAACAGATGACGCTGACCAGTCTCTGCAACACTCCCAGCTGACGTCGGCATCATCAACTATGGCTATGTCCAGAGTAAAGCCTGTTGTGGGGCTGTGGCCTCAAAAGAACTGTCTCTACCTTAAAGTCCTCTTTTTTTTTTTCTTTTTTTTTTGATTTGTTCTGACTCGTCCCAGGAAAAGAAGTATTGTGTGAACTCCAGAGAGAGCTAGGACAGCAGCCTTGGCCAATACTTCCATGCTGGTACTCAGCAGGAGAGCAGGCACCTGGTGTGGAGCTGGTCAGAGCCCTGCTGGGTTGGGCGATGACCAAGCAGGGACCTTTTTGCTTAGGGACAAGTCTGCTGGCCCCAGCAGTTCTTCTGATTGAGAGTGTTATGCCAGGAAGGATTGAACTGCACCTCCTCAGAAACATGATTCCTCAGGCAACTGCTGGCTTCATCCTTCCAGATACTACTTCATCCCTTAAATAAAGCAGTCTCTTTCTCCTTGGGTTGTATATTACCTTCCCACACTGAGCACTTTGTCACTCTGAGCACAGATCCTGAGCAATTCATCACACCTCCCACTAAGGGAGTAGATAGGGTGTTTTCTCATGTCCTGAAAAGCACAAATGAGTGTGACCATCAAGTGGCTTTGCCTGCAGAAGTACTTTATTTCACACTGTCAGTGCTATCAGCATGGTGGGGTGTAGTTGAATCTTGCAGGTGATTATACAGAACTGAAGGTTATGTGTGAAAGTGATGTACTTCGATGGGGGAAAGGCTGAGTTCCAAGATCCCTGCTGCACTCTGTATGAAATGCAATCTCAATTTCTTAGGGTGAGGTTTGCTGACAGGCTTAAATTGTGTGTCCTAGGCTGGATATTGCCCAGTTGTGGGATTTGGAGTTGTGTTGCTGGTTGGAGTTTGTGTCAGAGAGCACAAGCAGGAGAAACTGACTATTCATAGAAAAATCTGATGGAGCCCTAAACTCTTAATTACCGTATTCTGAAAAATGGGGTCTTCAAATCAGCAGGGGAAAACAAACAACAACAACAACAAAAAAACCCACTGAGGTTGCTGGAGTTAAATTGATCCTCCTGTGTGATTGACTTGTATGCTAGGGAATGCTCTGCACTCGAAGAAAAGGTTTGGGCTCTGGAAGGAACGAAATTCCTGGCTCCTACGGCACAAAGCTGAGGTTCTGCTGAGGCTCCTGGCAACCAGGCGCTCGCCGTGGCAGCAGCTGCTGGGCCACCTCGGCCGGGCATCCCCGGGACAGCCAGAGCCCCAGGGACAGGGCGCCTGGCGCTTGCTGCCCCCTGGGCAGGACCGGTCCTTGCTGCAACGGTACTGCCAGGGCACAGGGACAGAAGCAGAGCAGACGGAAACTGGCAGGGCCCTTATTCAAGTTGTCCTTGTTCCTCGTGTTGATTGGAGTCACAGGCACTGGTGGCTGCAGGTGAAGAAGAGCTGCAGGACAGGACCCCAACTGCTTGGAGTGGGTATTTGACTCTATTGAGCTTTCCAGCTCTGAGTGGAGCTTGACTGAGGGTTGGTGCCTCTTGCTCCACAGAGGCATGCCTGACTTGGGTGAGTTGCAGAAAGCAAAAAAGGGCCTGTGCTGCTTCATTTTCTCTCCTCTGGTGCAGGTTTGTGATATGCTGAACAGTGCTCTAGTCTCAGTCAGGGGACAGAAGCAATTCAGATAGCTGAGCAGTGCCCTGCTTTGGACAAGAGCACTGTGCTGAGGCAGGCAGGGCTGGGAGACCTCTCTACCCAGCAATGCTCTTGCTGGCTGAAACACCAACTCCCCAGCAGAGGAGGGAATCTGGTTTCGCTGGGCACTAAAGAGCTTAGTGGGCTGGTCAAAACCACTGTCTTCTTGTGATGGGTGCCTTGCACCCCTTGTAAGCATCTCTGTGGCTTGCGCAAAGCAATAACACAGGTAGCAGGTTCTTGCCTCTGGATGCTGCTGAGCTGGCTGTGCCAAGAACTAGAGACTTCCATAGAGACTTCACTGTGGTGGGTGTCTGCTACAGGCCACCTGACCAGGACAAGGAGGTTGATGAGGCCTTCTATAGTCATAGCAAATGTGGGAAAGTGAAGGAATTGACGGATTGCTCAGCCAGGGAGGACAGGAAGCACAGTGATAATCCAGCATCCAGGAAACACGGTACTATTCCAGCATGGAGGAAAAAAAAATCACTTATCCAAGGTTCAATTTTCCCAATACCTTCATCATCAGAGCAGCTCAAATGAAGCCTGGCCAAGTGCTGTGCCAGCAGCTTGCAGACAGCTGTGCTTTAAAAGCTATTTGGGGCTCACGTAGTAGGGAGCTGTGGCAGATTCAAATATCCACTGATGTGTCCTGTTCTCGATGGCTGCACAGCATGGGGGGAGCTGTTGCTTTTCTAGGCCTGTTCTCTGCAAGGAAAGACCTTGGGAAGAGCTGGGGCCTGTAAGCTGCCTGCACTCGTTCCTGGCAGGTGCCAGGCTGGATTGCAGTGCTGTGTGGGTGAGGGCCACACGCCTCTTCTAAATCCTCACTGCAGAAGCTTGTCCTTTGGGCCAGGATGTGGGCCAGGAATATTGCAGAGATTTTCAAGTCTTCTCAGTCTGAGGAAGAAGTGGAAGGGGAGGAGGCCTTGATGTATCTGGCAAGGCGCTACAAGGGGCTGACGGTGAACGCATGTGCCCATGCCATCTTCTTCTGCAGACTTCTTCATGCCTTGAGGTAAGGTGGAAGTTTGCTCCCCACTGTTGATAAAAGGCTGGGTGGCAGAAGCATGTCAGGGAGATAGGCTGTGAGGAAGAAACCTTGGCCCCTCGCAAGGGTCTCACCCCACTGATGCCACATGTGCTGTGCTGCAGCTGTCAGGCGCATGTGGGGCCTACAAAGTGCTATCTGCCTGAGCCATGTGCAAAGCAGTGCCTGAGAGGTGAAAACCACCCGGTACCAGCATCACCATCACCAGCAGTGGTGAAGGGTTGTCTGGCGAGGACTTTTCCTTACACATAGCATGGGGCTCCCGTTAGGCTGATGACAGTTCCTCTCCTTCCCCAGGCCAAGCAAGACTGAGAAGGCTTTTCCAGGTTCCTTGGCAGACAACTGTGGCCTGAAGGTTGGGATTATCGGGGGGGGCCACCTTGGAAAGCAGCTGGCTCAAGTGCTGCTGACTCTGAGCTGGACTCCATGCTGCAGTATCCGCATTTCCACCAAGCGCCCGGAGAGCCTGGGTAAGTGCTCCTGAACCTGGATGTGGAAGTGAGATTGCATTTACGTGGATTGTAACTGGATTTTCCTATAGCACTTTGCACAGAACTCACTAAAGAATGCTCTCCTGTCAAAAATATTGAAGGTGCTGAAACCCAATTTTTTTTAAGGGGAAGCAGAGGATGTGATTGTGGAAAAATATTTATTCAGTTGGGAACCCACTGTCCACTAGCTCCTAATTTAGTTGTGTAAGGTTGTTTTCACCAGTCCCACTTGAGCTTGGTGGAGACATTTATTCCGTTCCTTTGAAAGCCTGATAGTTTCAGGACCCTTTTAGTGTAGGCTTTCTGCATGCACTCCTTTGCTCCTCTTTTCAAAATTCTCCTTGTCGTATGCCACATTTGCCAAAAATTTTGCCAGCAATTGAGACTCCAGCTTGTTAAATATTCACCCAACAGAGAAAACACATCTCCAAGTCTGTAGCATTGCTGAAACTGAGAAGCTCCTCTCCTTATTTCATTGCTGTAGCGACACTTGTACAAGACAAGCTTCTTGCTGTGCTCTGAAAAGCTCTGAATGCCCAGCGAGGAGAGGGAATTCAAGTGCAGCATTACAGCAACTGTTTGCCTACAAACTGTCAACTGCCCCGTAAACTGTTATATAAACGAGATGACTGGGGAGAGCTCTCCTTCAGGGAGGTGCTTAGAACAATAAAATCCTCTTTCTAATAATCTCAGAGTAGAGAGTAAGGAGGGGTTATTAAATGGCTTTTTATAGATGTAGGAAACCAGCCAGATCCAAGACTTGGTTGTTTTGGCTAAACCTTTAAATCAGTGTTCATGAACCGGGGCCAGGCGGCCTCATCCTCTGCACGTTCATTCCTGGCAGAGGCGCTTGCCAGTTTTGTCGCCATGTGGAAATGGTGGCGGGGGGCTGCCAATGTCCCCGAGTGCCCCCCGGGAGGGCAGTCCCAGGTAGGGAGGAGTAGTTTGTGTTTCACCTGCATGTAGTGGAGAGCAGGCTGCCCGGGCCTGGCTCTGAGCCCCTTCCGCCTTGCTTATCCCAGCAGAGCTGCAGGAGCAGGGGGTCGGCTGCTTTTACGACAATGCTCAGCTGGTGGCCTGGGCAGATGTGGTCTTTCTCTGCTGCCTCCCGTCGCAAGTGCTGACCGTCTGCTCCGTTATTCGGCCAGCCATCCGGAAACCCTGCCTTGTGTACAGCCTCGTCACGGCTGTCCCGCTCCGCAGGTGAGGTGGGCCGTGGTGCCGAAGAGCCTGGATGTGCTGCCCTTGCCTGGGATGTCATGTGGCAAGCACAGCGCATGGGCTCTGGCCAAGCTGCAGCTGCAATGATGCTCTTGATTTTATCGGAAAACATCATCACAGACCTTGTCCTGTTCTGCCACTCCCCCAAATTTCCAGTTGCTAGAGTCATGGGAATACCTTGGAATTACAGCTTTTTGTTTTTCTAAAGGACTTTTCTAGACTTCATGGCTATAAACTTGAAAACATGATCAGAAGGCATCAAAAGAAGGAGTCAAAAGGCTCCAAAACAAAAACAAACCTGGCTTTGAAAATCCCCTCCTGCCATGGCCTCAGATCATCACTGTAAGGCCCATTGCAAACTATCCAGAAAAAAAAAAGGTGTGTGTGTGTGGGGGGGAAATACCGTTTCACCTCAAGCTCCTGCCATAACTCAGGAGAGGAGCCTGTCCTGAGGGTTTGAATGCGCAGAGGGTTTTGCTTATGCTCTGTGGTCAGTCCAGGCCTTGGGATTCTGCTGAGGTAACTGATAAGGGCTAACTTAGATGTGTAACTGTTCTGTGACATGCTATGGGTTAGGCTGTTAACTGGTAAAAAGCTTGCTGATCCCACAGATAATAACTGCTGATCTTAGCATGATTTTAAGAACTTCCTGCTTCCTCCTCCTCCTTTCTGCCAGTTAAACCCAGTTTCTGCCCTCCCACATAACCCAGGCAATGTCCTCACGCACTGAGGGGGCAAGAGCAAGGGATTATTTTATTTTATTTTATAAAATTTATAAAATTTTATTTTATAGAAATAAAATATCTTATTTTATTTTTAAAAATACTAATTGTGCTACAAAACTGACAGTGCTGTGGATCTCTCTTCAGCAGCAACATTAAGGGCCACAAACTAGCCTGAATGCAGGCACTGAAAAGCTGTCAAATAGGAAGAACCTTTCCAACTGGGTTGTAGTAGCTATTAAAAGAAGAGTAGTCATTAAAATCCTTAATAGTGTGAATCCCAGCACTGTTGACTCAGCCTCTGCTGGCTGGTACAGTGGACAACTCCGGTGGTTTCTCTGTATTTCCCTCAGGTATGATGTTAAAAAGCCATGATGTCCCGTGCAGCCTGCAGCCACAGCCAGCTCCGGGCACTTGCTCGGAGTGAAGGTCTCTCAGGCCAGCGGTTATTCGCCTTGGTCCTGTGCAGCGATTATTTGCCTCGGTGCTGTGCTGCACGCTCCCAAAGCTGCTGTGTCCTGGCAGCGGCTGCTGCATCTCTGCAGTTGCTGCAGAGTCTGGGAAGCTCTCTGGGGCAAAGAGTGCTCGAGGGAACATTCCCTTGCTTTTTGCCACACAGTTCCCTGGCTGGCTTTGCTTTCAGGTTGAAGCAACTCCTTTCCTACAGTGCCATCGTGAGGCCGCAGTACCAGTGCTGTGGCAGGGAGCCCATCAATGAATGGAGGTCGACCGGGACAGTCACAGCAGCACTGCAAGACCCTGCTGTTGTACAGGCAACGTGTCCCTGCAGTTCCCAAGGTAAAATTCCTTCCCTGCCCTCTCTCTTCCTAGTTTGATTGTAGCTTTTCTGGATTTGCACTTTGCTTTTCAAATGCCTGTAATACTCTGAGCTGGAAAGGGACTGACGCCATTTTTTAAACTGGATGGTGCATAAATGGGTCCAGTACTAGAAGCCAATGGGCCTAACTGTGTGCCTTCCTCGCCTTTTTCGCTGATTAATGGTCCTGGTGCCAGTCTCTTTAGGTCAGGGCCACTCTTCTCTGCTAATGTATCATCCAACTTTTAAAGAACTTTCCCTTTATGAGACTACAGCAGCTCTAAGGCTCAAACTAAAACCATGAGCAGGAGCTGAGATCTGCTTTCTGAGCAAGCATCATCTGGTCCAAAATCTTTCTCTCATGCCTCAGGCAGAACTTCTGCTTCCATATTCAAACCCTTCCTATAGCCAGCTTGGCAATTACTAGCTGCTACCTCTATCCGCCACAATTTCATTATACGCTACTTAAAAATTAATTCAGCAAGGCAGGAATTAAAACAGCTGCAGTGCTGTTACTCAGTGGTGGCTGTTGGACTAAATCATTATATAACTTTACGTGCAGCTTGTCAAGGACTCCTGTTTACTTGAAGGAAAAACACTGCAAAAAATATAAGCTATACTAGGCCTGTTACTACTCCTTTAAGCATGCCTCACCTAAGATCATCCTAAACCACAGGTTTCAAATAAACCAGATGTAATTGCTAATGCAATTCTTCACAGGAGCGCGAGACTGAAATACCTTCTTACACTTGTATACACATTGGTTATTGACATTTGATTTTTGGTCACTGTGCAGGGAAAATCAGAGTCAACACCAAGTGGTTGGTGGCTTGTTTCTATGCTGCATTGAACAGCAGCATGTGGCAGCGCCTGCCTCACCAGAAAGCACTGAAATTACTCAATGACCTGTGTTTTCCTGAACACTGTCCCATCTGTGCAGAAGAGAAAACTTCCTGCCCACGGTTTGTGTGTGAGAGTTTTGTCAGCAAAACATTTGCCTCTTCAATGGCTCAGGAAGAGTAAGTAAAGGGCTGAAGACCAGGGCGCTGCTTGTCCGGGCCTTTTCTTTGTTCTCAGACTTGCTCCACTCCACAGTTAAAGCATGGACTTCTCCTGTTGGGTTGGAAGGCACTGAACTATGAGTCAGTGCTGCTTTCAGAACCATGTACCTGCTATGGAAGATTGGTCTAGATATTATTTTAGCAATAGAAGATTTGGATTTCTATCTACAAGCTGTTTTGTCCCTGGTTCCCATTGGGATACTTGTGAGGCTTGTCTAAAGCCACTGGTCAGGATGGGGAGTTACAGCATTGGATGTAGGAAAAAAAAATCCTGTAGAAATACCTGGAGAGGACTGTTCTTATGGGTAATGGATTTCTGGTAGTTCACAGACTGTCTAGGATGTAAGACTGAGGATACACTGATTGACAGAAAAGGCTCTTACTTGTGCATGAGCCATTACAATCAGTTTTGCTCCCCATGGCAGTTCTAGCTTTGAATGCCTGGCACAGCTTAAGACTCAACTCTCTGAACCTCATTGTCTCTTAAAGGCTTGAAAAAGAGAGGATCAGTCAGAGATCAAGAAAACCATTACTTGTTAAATTATTAGCTGTTGTGGGCTGTCATTTCCCCAAATGACTCAGCTTTTTTTTTCTCTTCCCAGAACCTTCCCCTGGTTTGACCTAACCGCTGCGCAGCTGAGAGAGTCTCCCTTTAGCCAGCTGCTAGAAGGGAGCGCGGCTGTGCGGAGCCATCTCGCTCGGCTGTACCTGGGGGCCTTTGGGGACTGGCCTAGAGAGCAACGCGGGCTGGCGAGCACTGACACAGCTCTCACTTCAGCTGCAGTGGAGCCTGGTGTGATGGTGGATCACAAGACCTTGTTCTCTGCAACTGCTGCTGAGATTTCATCAAAAAAAATGGAGGAAACTACTGACAATGATTCTAAATAAACTATAAACTATAACAGAGCTCACAACAGATTCCTTTGCTGAGATCCCATCCCGAAGGGGTGATAACCTGGAGATATCTATAACTTTTTTCCATCAGTTCCTTCTGCTGGTTTTATGTGGTTGTATGTGATGAAAGAAACACTGTGAGGACTTCATCTTGCAGGGGAATAATAAACACTGAATAAATGTATATTTAACCATTGCTCAATGATAACATAAAACATTAATGGAGGTAGATGAAAGGTTAGACAGTGGCATTACATCCACTGCTCTGCTCTGAAATACCATTTTCTATCAATCTTAACCCTTGCCAAGCACAAAAACAGCAATCCTGTTGCTAATGCAACAGGCTCTGAGATCTCTGAAGTTCAGATATTGAGGGCTGAGATACCTCCCTATGGACATGAAGCCTAGACCTAGCTTAACAAATCATTAAGGGTCACTTTGCCAGTGAGCAGGCTCATGCCGAACAGCCATGGAATAAGACACTGACTCGTTGCCTCATACCGGTGTGAGGAATGTGAGCACTGTTTGCTCCTGCACTGTTCAAAACGTCCAAGCTGATAACCCTATGAACATGTTTGCTTCTACAAGCTTCACACAGGAGACTAGCAAATCTCCTTGCTCCTGGCTGCCTGAGTCTGGCTTTATTTCACTCTGAACTTGCTTATTAAGAAGTCATAATGCAAAGTTGAATCAGTACAAAGACTTAGCCTGTCCTCTGACTCAACCTCACTGTGTTTCTGATGCAGTTTTAACAGGAAATGGATATACAGTTATGCTTTAGTGGCTACTGCTTTGCCCTAAATAACCAAGAGCTCTTCAAATGCTGAAGTGTAGGAGAAGTCTATTCACTTGAGCTGTAGGAAAGTAATTATCAATTGCTGGTAATTAAAACACGTCTATGGTTGTCTTTTTAATCAACTGTGAAGCAGTAGAGAATGATAGACAGTGGTATAATTGTAACTGATTTACAGCTTTTGCTTCATTTAATTCCTAGAAGCAAATTAAGAATGGTGATTGCAGAAAAGCAAAAACAACTAATTCAGGTATAGGGATGTGCTTCCTATCAAGAAATGGCTAAGAGCAGCAATATTCTTGATTTTAATCTAGAGAAAGTGGAACTGTCCCAGCTGCAAGGTAATAAGGGTATCTTATGGCTGTCCCTGCTGGTCTTTTTACAGAGATGGAACTAGAAGGTGAGGCTCTAATCCTCACTCCGGATATTCTCCAGTACTGGAAGAATCTGCTTCTACCCCGCTCTGGATTTGCTCCACAGAGGGATCTGTAGGACAGGGCTCCAGCCCTGCTTCTTGGATGAACTGTGAGAAGGTGAGGGCATCCGCCTTCTCTCCTGTTTGGGACTTCCGCTCCAGGAAGAGACCCATGTTGTCTCTGTGCGGGAGGGCGATGGATCTGCTGAAGAGAGGTTCCTCCGTCCCCAGCAACTCTCGCACGTGTCGTGAAATCTCCTGAAATATAAGACAAAATACCAGAAATTCTCATTTCACAAGGCAATAACATATACCACTCATTCTGTGCCAAAGCAGCAGAGAAAGAACCTGAATTTCTGAATTTTTGAACATTTTCACACTTGAAGTTGCAGTTCAAGTGGGACCTGAACCCGTGGGCTCAGTGTGGTACTATGAAAGCAGAATGGTTGGCTCCCCTTCTCCGGGGGACGGCGTCACAGCTGCTCTCCCTAGGGGCACAGCAACTTTGCTTTCCTGTTTGCACTTGCAGAACAAACAAGTCACGGGTGAATAAGCTGGATTCTGCCCCACACAATGCAAAAACATTACCACTGTTTGCTAAATTGTATTGTCAAAACCAGAATCTTTTGATAGAAGAGGTGGAAAAACTAATCAAACCAATAACCTTACTGCTTGTTAAGAAAGTTATGGGTGACTGGGTGGCTGAGCCAGCTGGACCCAGACCTATCAGGTAACAGAGACTGATCATTAATTTTGAAATCACTTTTGAGACTATAACCTTGTGGTTTGACAAAGACATTGAAGAATAGTTCACAAGGTTATGCTGGCCTTTCACAACATTCACTCAAATCTTCCCTCAACCTCCACTTGGTATAGAGTGGTACCTACTTTGTGTCATATCTAAAGAACATTGGGCTGGTACCTTGAGTGCTTGTGATATCATTTAAAATAGCAGTACAGCAGAATTAAAACCAGCAGTAACATTTTTTGTCCATGCTGAGAAACTTCCACCAAATCTAACAAATAGGG